CCAGTAGATTAGCTTTGCAAACGCGTCCTCTATCCTGTCGCGCTGTGACATTGTCAGATCAACTTGGGACGATGGGGCACTTTCTCCAGTACATGAGCGTGTGAAATTGGCACAGAATATCCTTGGTGCCGGGGAATGCCTTTTCCAGGACCCGCCACTCCACGAAATCTTTGTCGATAACGACAGTCTAGATCAAATTCCAGGACGGGTTCTTTATTTTGAAAAATTCAACGATACGGCCCATTGTTTGTTCTTTCTGATCTAGCGCAAGAAAGTCGATTACAGGTATGCCCCGTCCTGTTGCCGACGTGACCACGAGACTTCCTAAAAAAACATAGTAGTTAGTTTGTGCATGATCTGACAGTTAAATACGATGCAACTTACCCAAATGATATCCGAGGTTACTAGTCCCGTGCGTCCAGTCCATCACCAGTGTGTCACCCCACTGACAAAAACACTCCTTCTGAATGGAGGTTTGCAATGTAACGACACAGGTTATATCCATTTGGTCTTGCACCAGGAGAACATCATTACCTTCTTCCGTGACAAAAGTACCCAAACGAGACTTGATTCGTTCCAACGCTGATGATCCCTCCAACAACGCCCGTAGCATATTACGTGTTTGCTGAGGTGTAATAGTAATATCTGCACGTAAACGAAATGTTGTTAAGCTCGATTTAAATTTGAATGTACAGCAATCCTTAAGGCTTACTACGGTCACGAAAAACACCCACCTAACTTGTCCGCCAGATAGCGGTTCACAGCAGCAGTACTGGTCTTCACCTCGTTGAGTAGACCGAGTTCTTAACAAACTTTGCGCGGCAAAAGTGACTTCGCACTACGATACGAATCGTAGATCAGCTTCGTAGTGGGGTGGTTGGGCATCGATATCAAGAGCAGTAAACAGTTTGAACTACAAATATGCGTAAAAACAGCATCTTACGAACATATGTGTCTTCATCAATACACACTGTCCACGAGCGTTTACTGGTCTCAGCTGAGTAGACGGAACGCACAACAGAGCTCACTTCACATCCCGTAAAGCGACAGTCATGTTCACGGCGCCCATGCCCTCGGGGGACCTGAGTTGCAGCATGCGTACACCAAACTCGTTTGAGGCTGTGAGTCAAATAATCAGATATCTTCCTAACACCAGGAAGCTTAAACAACACACAAAGCAACATAGCAGCAGACAACACGCAAACGATACAATGAGACAGCAACATAAACGTCAATCTCGGTATCGTGCACTTCACCTGTTGTGGTTCTTTCTTGTCTCAGAGCTCCGCGTTTGATAGCAAAGAAAGTGCTCGGCTTCGTAATCTTTGAGCACTTACTGATCCCCCCCCCACGTGTTGAATACCTTTTGCGGTAGCCCTGGCTTGTCGCTGATGACTGGGTTTAGCGTTTCCACAGTCTTCTTGCGATTATCCGCGGGATTTGGTTTGGCGACGCCAGAGATTATGCGGTCGACTAGCCGGTCCTTCCGTAGATACTCGTACCCGCTTTGTTGTAGGCTCATGATCTGGGTCATCTGTAGTCGATAATTCTAATTAGAAAATGTAAATAACATTGTAGACGACTCGTTCCTGATTCTGATACTTTGTTTTCCGTATCGTTGGAGTCCACTAGGGTGGCGGCGGCGGCGTTATCCTCAATGTTGCTCTCCATGATGCTCTCAGTGTTGCCATCCATGTTGTCATCCATGCCGCCCTCAGTGTTGCCCTCAGTGTTGCTCTTAATGTTGCTCTCAATGTTGCCCTCCATGTTGCCCTCCATGTTGCTCTCAGCGATAGCGGCCGGCGAGTCAGCTGCCACCTTAACAGTAGCGTTCTGGGTGTTTCCACCTCTTCGTCATGCGTGGCAGCCTCAGCCGTGGTATCCTGTGTGGCGGAGACATCCTCATCCTGCGTGGCGCTATTCGTGGCGTCCTGCGTGGCGGGGACACCCTTCGTGTAGCCGCGTGTCAGACTAACGTAATCACGCGGGCGTAGGGTGGAGCGATGTCCTACACACACCAAATCAGTTTTTATCCATCATGGCGTAAATTAAAAGAGTCATACCTCTGTTAGCAACCGACTGGACGAGCGCCGCACCCACTTGTTTCGACCCCCCCCCCGTACTGGACGCTCGCTTCTTCTCGTCCTTCTTCGCCATATCACCGCTGTAGGGTTCTCCCGTTTCTGGAAATGTCGTACTTTGTCGACAACGAGAGTTTGCAAATGTTTAGTCGAATTGTTTGGCTTCAAATTCGCGGGAAGATAAACTTGATAAATTACCGAACAACACAGGAAGCTGCTGCGTTGCTCTAAACCACCTATCGTGTAATTGTGGTAAAGTTGTAGTAACGACTCCTTAATTTATTACTATTTTACAACAAAACAGATGTAGTTTTTTATTTTTGTCATTGTAACTTGCAGAAAGTTATAAGTACAGAGTATTACGTGTACTAAAAGCACGTCCTCGGCATCACGTATTCCTACAGCCTGTAGTACAGCACCCTGCAGCATTGGAAGTATAATGGGGTACGTAACCCCAAGTGTACACCTAGTTACATGAAGTGTGACACGTCACACTTCGGTATATCTGGTAGATGGTACCAGGGTCGCCCGAGGCCAGCCATTGGCTGATGACATAGCTTTTCTATAGGTGGCTTATAGTTTGTATATTTAACGCAAGCTTAGCCTACCTATAAATACATTCCGCTTACAGCTTACCTTAATTTGGTCACTTCGCTCCCTTAGACAAAAGGGACCTGTGAACCACTGCTCACTGAGAGTTTGTAAAGTCGCGGAAGCCAACTTCCTCTAGCGCAAGGTGCTGTGTGACCCCGTCACACTTGGTAGCACCTGTAGTCAACCTACGCCAATGCGGGTATACTACCTGAACCCCTCTAAAGCTCGTCGCCATGAATATGAACGACTTCTCCCGTCTGAACGACTCACAGTTCGAGTCGGTTCGGAAGATGGCTGGCATCTTCGGGATGAAGGCCCTGCAGAGCCTGGTGGCGTCAACACCGGCCGAGTAGCTCGAGCGTGTCAATGCGTTTGACGCTTACGAGCAAGGGCTCATCACACATGTGCGTAGAAACCTGCAGGCTCCGGCGGCGGAAACAAGTCCGCCACACCCGAAGCCAATACGGCTGAAGGTTAAGGTGTATGAAGGAAAGGAAGGTGAGAACCTTCACTTCTGGTTTCAAGAGGTAGAACTCGCGATGGACGCGGCTCTGATCTCGATCAAGCAACTCTGTGTTGCGTTTGCACTCACCAACCTTAGCGGTCGTGCTAAGAGTTGGGTGTACACGCGGGGGGCGACATCGCCTGGATGCTTCACATCCTGGGCTCAGCTGTCTGAACAGCTCCGAGCCGCGTTCCTCCCGGCGAACGATGAGTACCGGCACCGTTCGCGCTTCCTTTCTTGCAAGCAAGGAAGGCGCGAGCTGCACGAGTACGTTCAAGCGATACGGGAGCCCACGGTGTCCCTAGTGGGAAACCCACTCAACGAACACATCAAGGTGACTGTGCTCATGGACGGCCTACGAGTGGGCCCGGCGCGCACTCAGCTGTTCCGGGTGCAGTCAGGCACCCTAGAAGAGTCGATTCAAATGTCTCTGCAGGAAGAATACAGCCATCGTCAGGCGCGCACGCCGGTCTCAGCATGACCAGGGAATTCTGTGTCGAATCCTGGTCGAGCAAGCACCACCGGAACCAGTTCCCATGGAACTCGGGTCCGCCGAGCAGCGCGACTATCGCTTCTTCGGCAGTGGAAAACGGGGCCACTTTAAGCGTGACTGTCCCGCGCAAAGACACCGCAGGCGGACTTTCCCCCAAGCCCGTCCTCAAGGGTCACTTGCAGAAGCCAGGATCTCGAGGGCAGGGGAACGTCGGAGACCAGTAAGGGCGTGGCACCCTACTGGCGAAGAGCTAAGTCTTCGTGAAAGGGGGGCCACGGGGACCTAACCCCTGAGAGTCTTCCCACTTAAGTCTCCAAACCCTAAAGCTAGGGTTTATAACCTGACGCGTTTCGGGCTACCCTAAATTACCCTATACATATAATCCGGTCGATACATAGCTATCGACTGTTTCTTGTAGTCCATAATCGTCATTAATTTTGGGTTTTTGTAGTCTCAAACCAAAGCATCGGGTAGTCCATTTTGCCTAAAATAAATGTAGGGTATATTAACCCAACCCAAAATAATAAACTCTATTTTGGTGCAATTCGAAGTTGGTATTTCATAAAACCGCCGCATTACGACAGCCATGCTGAGAAGGCGGGTGTGACCGGTGCATCTACACATGGACGCACTGTAGGCGCGGTAAGCTATCTGTTTGAATCGGTGAAGCTGGCGGGGCGGCGACATCAAACTTGCTGCTAAAGTGACATCCCGCCACGAACAGTGTGAGTGGGGTTAAATCACGAGCGGTCGGCGTCATCCTCGACGAACAATAGTGGCCAGGTGTCTATCAGCTCCGCCACAAGCGCCATCTCTGGTGCTGTAACAGTAAGCTCTGGTGTCAGCAGCTCTGGGATATCTGGTCCGGTGAGGGTACAAGCACTAGTGGCGTCCATCATTACGGCTGGATCCATCGTAACGAAAGGCAAGCAGGTGCCCTCGGGTCAACTCTGGTCGGGTGTTCCCGCTCGCTAACTGCGCGACCTCACGGCCGAGGAGACGCAATTCATGCAGTAGTGCTCGGCCGAGTACGCGCAACTGGCGGAGCAGCACGCCGGCGAGTGCGCTAAGACCTTCGAGGAGTACGAGGCTGACATGGAGCGCTACAAGATCCTGCGGGACGTGGGCGAGACTGGTCTGCCACAAAAAGGCGATGAGCGCGAAGACACTGGTCTCTACTTCCGTTACTAGACGGCAAGCATAGTTTCGAGTGCAGAATGGCGAAGAGCGAACAAAAATAATGAAAATGGGCTTAAACGATAGATTGGCTCCGTGGCTTATCATTTATAGGTGGATAAACACTCTCATGCCTACGAGTTGTGAGAGCTCACTCTTCGTCACTCTGTTCTTGCACCGCAACTACATCAAAACATACCGGTAATAAACATCAGTGTACGCAAGCAAGCAAAAACTTGTACCGTTGTCGGGCTTACAGGAGAGCGCAATCAGCTTTAGGAAAAACTCCCGCACTACAGGCTCTTGAAGTGTTGCCGTTATCGCAAAGTCCTTTGGGTTGGTTATGAGCTGCAGCACAACATCGCCACAAACGTGAATTGCACGGCTATTACAAAACCAGCGCTTGCACCAGCCGTACCTGCTGCATGCTGGTCATTAAAATCGGGTCCTGCAACGCCTGCACGTAGTATGAGCCTTGGTTCATGGCGATCATCAGTGACGGCCCAAAGTGAACGCTCGAAAGTAATATCAGCATCTCGGCATCTTCGTCACTGGCTCCAGCAGAGCTGTAAACCTCCAACACCTCTTTTTCATCAGATGCAGGCGGCTGAACTAAGTCGGTGATAGCTTCCAAGGCGCTCGCTCTGTTCTTCTTCACGCTGCTTTGTAAGTTCAAGCACCTCCAGAAAACCCTTCAAGGTATTGACGGAATCCTCCTCTTCTGTATGAAAAAGTAGCAGCTCTGGATCCTCGTCATCTATCAACGCATCACGGTAAGCTGTCCATCTTGCTTCATCCACAAGTCGCATCCACAACGCGCCATTCTCAAGTGAAGCAGCAGCGAGTACTTGCTCATCCAGAGATCGCTGAGGCTGATCATTTGTCGTGTGGCTAGGAGAGCTCGCACTATATCCTGTGTCTTTTTTCTTTGACTGTAAGAAGTCAATTAACTTCTGATAAAACCCTCGCAGCTCGTGGTCACCCAATTGAGATTCGAGGACGTCTGGGTTCAAACTCATGTCTCGTAGCGCCAACACTATCTTCTCGTTTTGCTGCAGCAACTCGCGCATCGTGTCGTCATGCAAAATAGCGTTTACTGCCTGTGCGTCGAGGCCACCATGCGTGCGGAGACAATGCGACTGGAGATTACTTGCTAGCTGATTACCGTTTTCTCTTCCTGGACCTTCGACTTTTTCTTCAGCGCCAACTTCGAGCGAAGCTCGCCCTCGCGTCCATTATACTTCGTTAGCAGCTTCTTGACAGTGTTTTCCCTTGGGGGCCATTCCAAGCCAGTACATCATTTGATTAACCCCGCCGTTCACACTTTTTTTAAACATACCGGCATCCCCACATGATCATAAGAAACAACGATTGTTTTTTTGTCGCGGCATCAGATTCTCGATCCTCGAGTAGCAACTCAAGTTTTTCCAGAAGGCTAATTGACTTGAACTACACCATCGATGAAGAAGAAACACTTTTCTCTGGATTCGGGTAGTCTTCGCTATATAGAAGATCGCTGAGCCAATTCAACAAGTTGCTGTCATCACTAGCCACGTTATCCAAAACGTAGATCTCCCTCAACAGACTAGTGTCTCTCGCTAGAGCGGTGCTTTTCGAGATTTCAATTGCCGGGTATGATGACGGTGGATTCCTACAAATTTCCACTTGCCGAATTAGACGCTGTGCACGACACTGTGGTTCAACGAGATCCTTGAGCACGACGGAAGGTTGTTTCTTGAAGTTGGGACAAATACAATGAAAGTAGAACGGCATGTTCTTGTCATCATGGCGTGATGGCATTAACGTGATAGCGAAACTGCCCAACCTCCAGGTAGTCGAGACTCTGCTGAACTAAACGTGCTACTGTTTGTGTTTAAAGGTCTACCCACTTGATTGCTTTCCGCAAGCATTCGACAGAAATGAGGATTAGTCGACGTCTCGAACCCCACCAACAGGCTTGAGTAGACAAAGTCCAAGTTTTTCTTCACGAAATTAACGTTTCCACGTGTGTGCGGATGTAATTTGTTAGGCAATGCAGTAAATCGAAGATTTCCCTTGTTTAAGACGCGAGGCGGTTCAGGTTATCGAGACGGATTGCGGTCGTAGATGTTGCGTACAAACAATCTGTTCCGTTTTTCCTCTTGCTGCGCGTTCACGTTTTCGTTTTGGTGAAGAATAGTCAGCTCCTCAAGCGAAGCGAAAATTCCAAGAGGATGCTCATTAATAAAAAGAACGTCCCTGTCCTTGTCACGGATAGACGAATACGGTCGGTTATTGTAGGCAGCTGTGACCACTTGTTCTTCCTACCCAGTGAGTTATGCGAGAGGTCTTCAAAGCCAAATACGTCGACAATCTTCAGCAGTGAAATGCCTGGTGGGATAATCGGGTTGGAGTCCACACGAAGCTCATTCCTATCAGTGCATGAACCTCTCATTTTTGTTACTTTGTTCGTTGCGGTAACGATGTACTCGAACGCGAGCTGGTATAACAAACGTGCGAGTGTGTCTCGAACATGCTTTACCTGACCCTGCTCTAGAGTCACCTCTAATGCTTCACTCGTCGATTGCAAACTTACACTTCTTGTCGTCATCATTCGTTTCAATTTCTCCACTGATTCCAACTCTACAAGTTCCACCACTCTTTGAGGTGCATTAGGCACCCCCGTACATGCAGAAGACATCAAAAGCTTTCTCGATGTCTCATGATAGTCAAGCTCAATATTTTTTAAGCCACAGAACAGCACTTAGCACTTTAAAAATTGCCTTCTGCTCGTCTGGGGATACGTTCAGCTCATCTAGCCCACCAATAATCTGCTGCCATCTTTCCACATCCTTTTTCCACGTTTCCGCTTCGCTCATAAGCTCTGCCCGGCTTGTGGTCGCTGCGACCGAGATCAGTAAACGCGGGAGCACTTTACACCATCGAGATGCAACTCCTTCGCTAGCAACCGCATAAAAGGAAAAGGCGTTGACACCGGCCACCATCGCGTACAGTACGTGAAAGTTCAATTCATTCTGGTCTCCAGCTTCACGACCTCTTTCACTCATGACGCTGGATTTTTCTAGTAAAAGCGGCGATATGTGACAGCCACAAATCTGAAACTCCCCCCAAAGGCAATTTGCAGAGTTGTCACTTTTCCAAACCTTGACGAATTAAGGTTCATCGACGTGGTAGCATTTCCAAACGCTTCCAGAATAATATTGGATTCCAAAACTCTGCTCAGTTTCTTCGCCGCATGTGGATTCGTACGATACATTAACAATTGTTCTTCATCCTAAAGATGCTCCAACTTGTCGTAAAAACCAAAGAAAAGGTTGTCCACGTGCACCTGGGGGAGACGCTTACTTCGACTCACTGATGCCATTTCTTCCCAGCGTTCAGGATGCCAATCCAGCAGCACGATTTCGTATTTCTCCACACCTTTAGCTTCGAGGAGAGCGATCGTTCGTGTTTCCTCTGTTCTCATCTGAATGGTACTTTTAGTGGAGCTAGTAAACAGCTTGATCTTGGGCTGGCGACCCTCCGAACCCTCAGAAAGAGCTGGTTGCGCCACAAGTACCAGGTATTTCAGCAAGTCCTTGGCAAGTTCTGTCTTACCACTCCCACCGCAAAGACAAAGGGATTGCCCGCGACCCTCAGCCATAGTACGGTTGCTCAGTGTCGACGAAGCTAACGACGAATTACCACCTGTGCGCCTATTATTGAAGAAAAGTCGAACTAGACTTTGTTTCGCGATAGCAAATGGATGCGGAGCCAGTACTGTCTCAGCATTTGCCGTGTCAGCGTAAGTGAGTACAACCTGCTCGTCGTAAATTGACGTGAATCGAGCAGTCTGTAGCAACCGGTACGGGTTCATCACGATTATCATGTGGTGGTTGACGTACGTGTAGATGTGGTCTTCGTCAAAACGGCTCGACAATGCGTTTACAATGCCTTCCTCCGAGTTGACTTGGCCAACAGTGACACTCTTTTGTTCCACAATTAAGTCATCGTTATTGCCTCGACCCAGACTCCATGGCTGCTTCGTTCGCGTGTCGTCCGTTTTGTCGCTAGACGCTGACTTAGCTGCTGACCCAGCTCGGTCGGACAGCTCCTCAAAAGTTGCGGGGTAGCTGTGAAACGAGGGGTAGCGTATTCGCGGCGACGTTTGAGACGAAGCAACAGGGGAGTCAAGTTCGACTTCTTTTAGTTTCTCTGCTGCTGACATCCGTGATCTACGTCCCGTGAAAGCTTTCGTTGATTCTCTGGAATTTCCTCAAACTGGTACCGCAACTTGAATGCTTCCGCCAAAATGCTGTCGGGATTAGGCTCGGAGCTCCCTGATTTCTCTTGAGCGAGACAAATGCCCTGAACAAGCTGTTGATACTGTGCCATTGACCATTGCGAAGGAGGCCCCCACGTACTTTTTTTCTTATTAAGGAGCTTCTTCAGCAGCACATTTCATGGAAAATCTGAAAAGAAGAACGCAAATCTACTCGAGGCGTGCCTACGTTGTCAGGCGCCATGGGGGATGAAAGAAGTTCAGCCCATCGCTTTCGCGTTCAGGCCCCACCTACTGGAGCGTACTTGTAGCAAACTAACGCCCCTCTGGATTGACCGCTGGCGTATCAATTGCTCGCTCTGCGAACAGAGCGGATGAAACACGGATTAGTACGAGAAAAATTTCAATATTTAATAACCTGACAAAGCCCCCACACCCGACAAGCTTTGCGGAGCGCTACGATTCACTCCTGTCGCTCCTGCAAGTCCAAAGCTGCCATTGAAGTATCAGCAGCCACCATATACACTTTTTCATCCCATATCACACCAGGTCGTACCTTTCAGATCCAGCTTATAGTTCTTGCCAGCAGGCCCCTCCTTCTGGCGAATACGCAGCCAAACATCCGAGTGAGGCAGTGGCGTGATGACATCCGCCGCTTTAAGCTCCAGGACACCCTTAAGCTCTACGTCTCCATCCTTTGTAGGCTTATAATAGCTCAGAGAGTGCTGCCCCAACACAAACTTCAGAACCCCATCGGTAAAGCCCAGTCGAGCTGTCTCCGTCTACAACGCCGCCTCAGCGCTCGACCCACGCTGCCGTGCTAGACGTCCACTCTTGGGACCCCCTGGCGACACCGCTTGGCTGCCCTTCCGCAATAGCATGAGGAAATATTTATTTCAACGCATTCAATGATTGTGCCTTTTTTAATTGTACATGTACGTAAGTTGAGCCTAGCGCAGGTGTAATTTGGCTACGCGAACACGTATTACCTAGTACGGCAGGAGCATCTATCCACAAAAAATCGACCCTTGAATCCTGAAAAATCCGAGAGCACTGACTAAAGTAGGCTCTTATGATTTATTGATAATTATGAAATGACATACATGTATATCACTTTTGACTTGTAAACGTGACCACTGGTCAGGTCTATTATAGGGCAGCGCGTAGGCTGGGAAAAGCCTAATATATTGCAAAGTAGAATTATGTATATACTTTATTGTGATTTTGCCGACATTTTTAGGAGCAAAAAATAACAGCCCGAGCTTGTGAAAAAATTAAACATTTCCTAATATTTAGCTAAAAGTTTGCCTTAATTTCCATGCATATATTGTAATCGACGTGGCCACGAGGCTACACTCGCAATCGCCTTGTAGTTGCGTTGGTAAATCATTTCAATTTGATTGTACAGCGACGGGCGCAGGTGAACGAAATGCAGCATCTGTGCCAGAACTGCAGTAATTTCAAAAGCGTAATTCTGACCGCTTTACTGTAAATCGTCGCGGAACACGGCTTTATGAACACGCAGTTTCTCCGGGGATGGCACTCAACCTAAAGAAAATCTCTTACTTCTTATGTGACTCATTTGTACGAGCTCGTACTGGAAGAAAGTTCTTTCTACAGCCCTCTATTATTTGGAAAAAATTGTTATCGTTAGTATCGTTTTTATATCACAAAAAATATGGTGATATTCTCTCTTTAAACATATTTATTTGTATCCGTTTGTAAATGAATGCGCCACCTGGTACTAGAATAGATTAATTGGCCTCTTATAAACAATATCCGGTGGACACCAGAGAAATACAGTGTCTGTGGTAGCATCAAAACCCATTGGCCCAGTAAATGTTGCTTGAAGGAATTGAGTGGAAGTCTTTTATCTTGTGACATGAAACAACCCAGTGGGTGAAGTTATCTTCGGGTCTAACACTCCATGAAAGATAATCATGCGTGTCAAAAGAAATGCTTCTTTCATTGATTCGATCGTTAGGTATCAGCACTTCGAAAATTGCAACTTGTTGAGCTCAGATGTCCTCCCAGACCAAAGCAACGCCTCTACGTACAAAGGGGCAATATAACAATCTCAGCTGCTGTTTACAATTTTACGAAAAGATGGCTGAAATTTTGTTTTACGATTAATCATTTCCTTCGGGAAGCTTATTATGGTTGTTAGTCAACGGTGTGCGGCTCCACTATATTTTGATTCTTGCTAAAGCCACTCGTCCTTATCAACATCCATTAATGACAAGATGTACACTCAGAATGGTCTTATGATATGTAGGCACTGTAATTCGCTGGGTTGTAGCCGTATCAACTGTCGCCGACAGTACGCTACCTGCTCGTCGTGCAAGGCGAAGGGTCATATTGGCGTGGAGTGTACCAGTCCACCCCCGCAGCATTCACAACAGCCGCTACCTTCGCAACCCGCAACAGCAGCCACAACAACAGCCGAGAAATCGCTCGGGTGGACATTTCTGTAACGCGTGCGCGTGATATATGTGTGACAGCTGAGATCACATGGTGTCCGAGTGTCCGACCCTGTAACCACTTAAGAGGGCTACGAACGCTCCTCCGATGCAAGGTCAAACACCTAGCCACAATGAAGGTGGCAGGAGGAAGATAAAGGGAGTGCCGCTCCTTCCTCTCGTCCGGTGACGAGGGTTTGGACTGGTAACAATTTAGCCTCGGACGAGAGCTCTGATGGGCAGAAGCGAGATAACCGAGCGCTGGAAATGGGATGCTGGGATGGACCGCGCGTCGTGACGTGAACGTTTCAAGAGAACTTTGAGATTACTGACAAGTTGGAGAGTATAAGCAGAACAAGTGATACGGGTAATGGGAATGGTTGCTGCAGTTGCATTTACAATTTCAGATATCTCTGGCGCGGAGTCAGACGCATTAAGTGGTGATAGGGGTAACCCCGATTCTTTACATTTTTCGCAGCGGGAACGGTCAGATACCGTGCCATCTCCCCAGAGTGGAATACTCAGGAAGTCAGCAGAAGACTCAGAGGTGATCAAGGTTAAACAAGAGGCGGTGGGTGCCACTACAGAGCCTGGTCCAGAGAACGAGGATAGAGGCCCA